GCTCTACCTGAAGCTCCGCCCCCGGGCCCCGCCCCACCCGCAGCTCTACCTGAAGCTCCGCCCCCGGGTCCTGGCCCCACCCCCGTCTCTACCTGAAGCTCCGCCCCCGGGTCCGGCCCCACCCCTGGCTCTACCTGAAGCTCCGCCCCCGGGTCCGCCCCCGCCCCCGGCTCTACCTGAAGCTCCGCCCCCGGGTCCGGCCCCACCCCTGGCTCTACCTGAAGCTCCACCCCCGGCTCTACCTGAAGCTCCGCCCCGGCCCCGCCCCCGGCTCTACCTGAAGCTCCGCCCCCGGGTCCGCCCACCCCCAGCTCTACCTGAAGCTCCGCCCCGCCCCCGGCCCCGCCCCGCTGCGCCCGAAGCCGGCGCTTGTGAGTCTCCCTCCTCCTCGGCTTAAACCCCTGGACACGGGACGCTGCCACCCGCAGCCCACGGGTGTTTAATGTCCTGGGCAGGCCTTCCTCCAGCTCCTTCCGGAACGATCCGGCTAGGTCTGTGTAACACCCTCAAGTCTGGTGGCCAGGTAAGCACCGGCCGGGCAGCAGGCGGGTCTCCACAGCCTTAGGCCTGGCTTTGATCGGGCGCTGCTGGAGGCCGAGTCTGGAGCTCCAAGGCCGGCCCCGGGCAGGAAGGCCAGGGAGACGCCGATCGCCAGCGAACCAGCCCGATGGCACAAGCAGAGCCTCGAGCGGAAGCCATAGCAAAGCTCAGAGCCAGCACTCGGGCCCCGAGTTCAAGACCCAGGACCGGCAGACACAGACAAGCAAAAAGACTCCACAATTCTGTGTTCTGTGTGTTTTTCTTTCCTCCCTCATGTTAAAAAGAAAACACTCTTTCCTATGTTCTGTAGTGTCGGCCCTGTGGTCAGGAGGGAATAGTAAGACACTTGTGTCTCCAGCGGTGCCTGGCCGAGAGCAGGCCCACAGGAGCTCGAGCTCTGGGAAGGGGACCCTCCCCAGCTTCCCCAGAGACTGGGGCTCGCCAGGATCAACTATTTACAGATGTCCACTTATGACAATGTGGCTGCCGAAGCACCAGCCATCGATTCAAAAACTCTTCTGAGTGTTTGGAGGCGTGACAATGTACCAGGGGGCTGATCATAACCACCCTCAGCAAAGCCACGGGCTGCGAGTGTGAGATCAGAAGGGTTATACAAACTGACGGCTAGGACCGCACGTGTGTGCAGTTCATTCATTCATTCACTCATTCAGTCCTAGGGCTCAAACTCAAGGCCTGGGCTCTGCTATTTGAGCCACAGTTCCACTTCCAGCTTTTTGCTTTTTGTTGGAGATTAAGAGTCTCACAGGGACTTTCCTGCCCAGGCTGGCTTCGAACCATGGTCCTCGGATCTCAGTCTCCTGGGTAGCTGGGATGACAAGCGTGAGCCCCCCCCCACCTTTTTTTTTTTTTTTTCCCCTTCCCACTTGAGCTGGCTTTTGAGTCTCGGGATTTGTTTCTTCTCGGAATCCCGGGCTATTTATTGCTACAAAGGAGAGGGGTGTTCAGCTGAGGCATGAGGTAAACACTGCAGGTTTATTTGGAGGCCACATGGTTCCTCGCCGGAAGGAATTTGTATGAAGGGGGGGGGCGCTATTTTTAATGATGGCTTTGCTTATACTTGAAATCGTGTAAGCAAAGCTCGCGGGAACTTAAGTGGGTGGTGAGAAAAAACAAAACGAAATCATCAATAACAAAAAAAAAAAACTTCCCTCAAACCCAACCACCCGACAATAAATACAATCACATGAATAGTCACATGAAGAATTAGACTGAAACCTTTTTTTTTTTTTTTGGTGCTAGTCCTTGGGCTTGAACTCGGGGCTTGGGCCCTGCCCCTGAGCTTTTGGGTTTTTGGTGGCTCCCGTCTGTCATCCTAGCTACTCAGGAGGCTGAGATCTGAGGATCACAGTTCAAAGGCAGCCCGGGCAGGAAAGTCTGGGAGACTCTGATCTCCAATAAACCTCTCAGAAAACAGGAAATGGAGCTGTGAATCCAAGTGGCAGAGGGCTAGCCTTGAGCTGCAGAGCTCAGGGACAGCGCTCAGGCCCTGAGTTCAAGCCCCATGAATGACAAAAAAAAAATAGAGAAAGGGCTGAGAAGGTGGCTCAGTGGTAGAGCGCTTGCCTTGCATGCATGAGGCCCTGGGTTCGATTCCTCAGCACCACATAAGCAGAAAAAGCTGGAAGTGGTGCTGTGGCTCAAGTGGTAGAGCGCTCACCTGAATTGAAGAGCTGAGGGACAGCGCCCAGGCCCAGAGTTCAGGCCCCACGACCAGCCAAAAAAAAAAACAGAAGAAAGAAAAGTCTCACAGACTTTCCTGCCCAGGCTGGCTTTGAATCCTGGTCCTCACATCTCAGCTTCCTGAGTAGCTGGGATGACAGGCAGGAGCTAAGGGGGCTGGACTGTCTCTTCAGATGTTTGAAGAGGGGGAAAAAAAAAGAACAGAAGAAAGAAATGCAATCAGCAACATGAGAAATTATACCATGAGTCATTTTATGCCTTCGGAGTGGGGACACAAATAAATACAAATGAGAAATATTTACAAGAGACATAATGAAGAGATCAGTAGGTGATGAAGAGAGACATTTGCACACCAGGTAGGCACCAGTGAATGGTCAAGCCTGCGATTCAGAACATAACTGGTTTCTTTTTTGGTGCCAGTCCTGGGGCTTGAACTCAGGACCTCGGCTCTGTCCCTGAGTTTTGTTTTTTGTTTTGTAATTCAAAGTTGGTGCTCTACCACTTGAACCACAACTCTATTTCTGGGTGGTTGTTTTTTGGTAGTTCATTGGAGATCAGAGTCTCACGGATTTCCCTGCCTGGGCTGGCTTTGAACCGTGATCCTCAGATCTCAGCCTCCTGAGTAGCTGGGATGCCAGGCGTGAGCTACAGACATGGGGGCTGGATTAGCTTTGGAGTGACAAGCCCTGACCACGCCACAGTGACCCAGGGCGGAGTGAAATCCACCTGATCTGCTTGCTAAGACCCCCCCACCCCCCAGATCTTTCTAGATGTTTCTCCTGGGCCTGTCATTCATCCAACATCGTGGATGTGAATGAGATTCAGGTTGGATTTCATTTTATTCCCCCCTCCCCCTCCCCGTTTTGCATAGAAACACTGGCTAAGCTTCGGGAGAACTTTTTGCCTTTAAAGCAAATCATTTAAGCCTGGATAAATTTAGCTTCAGGTTAACAAAGGCAGACAGGCAGGATGCATTTTTTTTTTCTCTTTTGGCCTCGTACCTAGGGTAAGGGACAGCAAACAATGGCGTGTACGCCAGAGCTAGCTGGGTGTCTTGTGAAGTAAAAAAATGTACTGGGACGGAGCCCAGCTCTCATTGGAATGCTTTCGAGGCTCCGCTGGCAGAGGCGACGGCCCCCAAAGAAACCCTATGACCTGTCAAACTGGGAAAATAAAATGTCGCATTTATAGAAAAAGCTGGTTAATGACCTCCCTGGTCTAGAGAAACCTGCCCCAGGACACCTGCTCATCTTTGGCTCCTATGAGGACGCAGCTGAAGTGGGTCGTGCGAGGGGGTGCCAGGCCGGCTCAAGGCTGGTGCTCTACCACCCGAGCCACACAGCCCCACCAATAAGAGGGAGAGGCTCGGGGTTTTCGGCCTCCAGGCTGGCCTCCCTCCGCGAGCCTCCGGCCTCAGCCTCCCAGGGCCACGCGTGCTTCCTGGGCCCCGATTCGAATCCTCGGCCTCCCGCGTCTCATCTGGAGCTTCTGCTCCCCCCCCCCCCGCCTTTGGTCTCTTTTTGCTCTGCTCTCCGTCCCTTAAGAGACTTCCAGAACTCCCCTGATGGCCAAGGCTGCAGCTGGGTCAACTAAGGAAACCCAGCAGAGGAGGCGGGCGGGGCGCAGTGGATCGACGGCTCAGAAAACGCACGACCCCCCCCCAGGAGCCCAGAACCCCAAGGTCACGGCTGACACCGAACCCCAAGGTCACGGGCTGACACCGAACCCCAAGGTCACGGAGGAGCGCAGCCGGCCTCAGCCGCGCCCTCTCTCCAGCCTTCCCGAATGGCTGGGCCCAGCGGGCCAGGGGCGGGGCCTATGCAGATGAAGGGGGACGGACCTACGCGGAGGAGGCGGGACCCGTGAGTAGGCGGGGCTTATGCAGATGAGGGCCTGGGCAGACCTGCAATAGGGGGAGGGCCTGTTTATGGAGGGGGCGTGGCTTTTAATGCAAGACGAGGGTGTGGCCTGAGCGCCTCGGCCCCTCCCACCGCCCTCGTGCGGCCCTGGGCTCCGTCTGCGGAGGGCAGGGGGCGGAGTCACGCGTGCGCGGGGGCGCCAGGGGGGGCATGCCAGCTCTCCGGTACCCAGAAGGCTCCGCGTCGCCGTCCGCCGGCCCCTCCAGTGGCAGCGGTTTCGGGGTGTCCGTGGCCGGCGCCTGCGCCTGCGCGCGTCCCTCGGGCCCTTTCACCTGGGCACGTCCGCGTGCTGGGGTGGGCGCTCTCCCCCGGGCCGGGCGTGGGGGTGGCTCGGGCTCCCGGTCTCGGGGGGCGCCGTGGGCGGGCTCCGCACGGCCGAGGTGCAGAAGCCCAGGATGGAGCAGAGGCCGCCCCAGGCCTGCTCGCACTGGGCCTGCACGCTGTGCGTCACGGCCGCGCGCACCGCCTCCCCGCACGTCAGCAGCAGGTTCACCAGGTCCACGTAGGGTCTGCGGGGCAGAGAGAGCGCTGAGCGCGGGCCCGGGGCTGTCCTCCCCCGGATCTCCGCGCGGATCGGCCCGCGAGGCCAGGCCCGGGCCCGT